TCAAGGACATTGCAGAGGAAACATCTACAGTTTCCAAGCTGGATGTAAAGTTTTCCGTGCGCTCTAGCATTTTGTTTCTCTTAAGGTGACCATTTGATTGAAATGCTAAATAATAGTAACCGACTTCAGTCTCATATCTCATGTAGGGAGGTGAAGTTTGACTTTTAGAAAAGCAGAAAGAATCTGGACACCTGGAAGTCCTGGGCTCTGTTTGCTTTTTCTAAACTATCCTGCTTCTGGCCATATCTGATTTAGTTATTTGCAGTGTTATAAGGAAATACGGCACAATCGTTTGAGTCAGAGTATCCAGAAATATTCACATGACCATGGGATGCCAGATGTAACAGGACCTTTTTTTAAATTTTGGCATTTTATAATCCTTTTGCCAGGAAGAGTATTTAGAAAGCTTCTCGTGTCGGTGCCCTGAAACGCTGGAATGAGAATGAATGAAATTGGCTATAATAATTATAATGTCAGCTATTCCGTATTTTACAGTTCTACAGTTTTCCTGAGTATCCGTACATTTTGCAGCGTCGATGAGACAAATATGCGGTTTCACGTCAGCGTTGTCAAACTTTAGCCACACTTTTCTTACTTTCCATAAACCACAGCATCAAAGGATTAATCAAGAAAATGACAACTAGATGAAAATAACCGTGGTTTGCAGTTCTGCATTCTTGTGCAGTTCTGCGTGTTGCACACGAGCAGCATTGTTTCCATCGTCCAACTTTTATCTCCGGCGCTGCGATGATGAGCTGGACGTTTAACTGTCGCTGTCCTCCACGTCTGTCTGGCCCGCTGCCACACCAATAAAGGTGTTAGGCAGCCCGAGGTCAAGCTGCATGCTTTTCCTTACTGCGAACACGCGGCCATCTGTCAGAGCCTGCGCGATGCTCTTAGCGCCGCTTCACCCTCACCTCTGCCACACATGCAGCGAAACACAAATGTTTAACCACATAATCAGGTGCACGCCATCCTGTTTCACAACAAACTCATTGTCCTCTGTGACTGAGGCCCTCGTGCAGGAATTGTACAGCAGCCGCACAGAATACATGAGCTACGACTTGTGATTCATTTCACTCATTTATCATTTTGTGTCTGATAGGAATAAGCATCAATATTCCTCAATGCTACACCTTTTTTCTTTTTCCAGTCAGATCATTTTTTCTTGGCCGTCTTGAGATAATTTGTTTTTGGCTTCTAATAAAATGGGACCATATTTCAAATCTGTCCCGCTCTTTCCTTCATCTCCTGCCTCTTACCCTCTTTCCTTACAGCAGGATTTAGCATATCAATGGCGGATTAGTTCGTTTAACAAAAGCTTACTACTGCAAAGCCCCTTTCCACTTGTCTTTCCAGCCTGACTTGTGGACCTCACACAGCTTCTCCTCGCCGGGGTCTTTGGTGTACGTGTGTGGTCGCGGCTGCTCGGCTGAATGGACTCTCGTTCGAAGATGACAAAAGACGTGCTTAGTCACTACGGGCTTCGGAAATGTATGCAGCAGCATGTGTGGGTGATGGTGTGTAAGGACGTATATGTGCACAGGCACACGCTGGAGGTGAATGGTTTCTTTTTACATGCGGGAAGGAGAGAATGTATAAATGCAGTGCTTTATACGTCCATCCACCCGCAGGTCGGCCTTCGGCTTTCCCTCTATGCCTGCGATCAGAACAACAAACTGTTAAAACGTTGTCCTAAACCTGCCAGTCTATTGTTCTTGTACCATAGGCTTCCTCTTACTTTAGTAGGGCATGGAAAAAAGTAATGTCCTCTGCCCTCGGAGCTGCTATGTTCTTGCCTGCAGATGCTCTGGAATGGGACTCATTCTGTACAGTGGAAAGTGCTGCACGAGGAGCCAAGAGGAGGTAACTCAAGCTGGCTAGATATGGGCATCAACCTCAGCTTTTGTGTGTGCGTGTGTTTGTGTGTCCAAGTGCAGGCGTGTCAGGCGGGTGGAGGAAAACCCTACCGTGACACTGCAGCCGGCTCAGGAAGGATGTCCCCCTCCTCCCGCCTTTGGTGCTGATGGTTTGAGCCATACAGCATTAATCACCTGAAAGCGTGACAGGATTAGGATGTAGATATGTCAGCTGAGGCATCGAGCTGGAAAGGTTTCGTTCTACAGTCGCGTGCCTTGTTTTTACACTCTGAGCAAACTCAGCTTCTCATGCAGTTTGAATATAACTGAAATAGTCTTCATATATGGATTATGTTGCCACGTAGTTGTTGTTGTGAGGTCAGTGCACAGGTTTACGTCATGACTGAGCAGGAGTAGGGATACAAATAGAAATACATTTGTCATTCATGGAGTCATGGGGAAAATTAGCCCAGCGTGCAATAAGGAGGGAGGCGTCTGTCCTGACAGGTAGTCAGCCAACGAGAGTGTTAACGTGTGAGCAGCAAGCATTTTGTGCAAAAGTGGAACATCTGGAGAACAGGAAGAGAACATCCAGGCTGTCGCTGCACATGCTACAACTTCTTTTGTTCTGATGATTCCCAGTTTGATCAGACAGGTTCCAGATGGTGCTGCATGCTGGATCAAAATCTAATGGTGCTTTTCTACGCTGATAAGCCCACCTCCAACACCATGGGATGAAATGCAGCCAGAAACCATGACAGCGCCTCCACCGTGCTTTACAGACACTGACTGTTGTAGCTCTCTCCTGACCTCCCCTTCCACTGAGTCGTTTCCGATGAAAGTCTCATCTCTCAGGTCCCGTGTCTGGTCTTTACTGGGCTTTATTTTTATTTATTCATAAGCACATGACCTTCAGATACTGTTGAGCTGCTGTAGGTAGGTTTTTAAGCCTGCCTGCTGTTTCATCTTTTGTCCTCCACTTGTTGTTTCCTTTCATGTTTTTAAGGACACATTTCACACCATCCTGAGATACTCCAGGTTTTCAGCAAATAGCTCCAAAAACTATTTGTTTGACTTAAGTTGTGTTATCTTTATCATTTTCCATAGATTCAGATGAAGACATGAGAACAAATGATGCGTACTAAGTCCATTTCTTGATTTAGGCGCTCTTTTTATGCTCGAATGATTGTGTGGTGCTTTAACAAGGAAACTATAACGTTCCGGTGAAAATGGACTGAAAATGGGAGAAAAAGCAGCCAATGTCATAATAAAATGAAAGGGAATCAGGGGTGGCTCAAGACTTTTGCACACTACCATATTTGAAAATTTTTGTTATTAGAAGACATTTAATTTTTTCTTGGAATGAGCCTGTTGAAAGTGCATGAATGCTTTTGTAAGCACCCCACTGTTGGGCCTTTCAGTGGAAGAAACCATTGCCGTATAATTTCCCCTGGGGGACACTGTTCCCCTCCACAGCGGGAGTTCCGAGTGCATGTTGGGGGCAGGGGTCCAGCTCCTTTATTACAATACATCTGTATTCCACTGCTGACTGAAGCACCATCGGTTATCGGTTGCTTTGCAGAATTTAAATTTTTACCTTTAGGCATTTCATCCTTCTGGCTTAGTTGACACAAGTCATGTGATACACTCGTGATTTCCCCAGGCCATCAATCTGTCTCGCTTTCTCTCTCTCTCTGTGTTTCTTGGCAGTTATAAGCCACCAGGTGTCTTATGTGTCCTGTGCCTAGACACTGTACCAACCCCTGGTACTCCCAGGACACAGTGGCATTGTTCTGTGTGGCCCATTGAATGTGACCCTGGTTCAGGGGGAAACAGCTGGTGGATTCTTCAGTACCAACCTACTTGGCATCAAGGCTGGGCTCTTGCCTTGGCGTTAAACTACAGCGTCACAGTTCCCAATCCGTGTAGGGACAGCTTTGAAAATTCATTGAGGGTCGCTGGACTTTTTCCGCCGTGTCAGGTGTGCAGATGTGTTGTTATGCTGCGCAGGTTCCTGGTATTCAAAGCGCATTTCTCCTTTGAGCTTTGAAAAGTCTGAGCAAAGAGGAGAGATCCTTGCCAAGTAGATGTTCAGTAAGTTTCACTTTGATTTGACCTTTTGATGGCGTTTCCTCCTTTTAACTCATTCACTGCCATTGACGTCTATAGCCGTCAATGGCAGTGAATGAGTCAATGGGTTTAACTCATTCACTGCCAGCCATTGGCAGTGAATGAGTTAAACACGACAGATGTGCTGCAGAGCCACAGCACGACAACACTGGGCAAACTCTGCCGTTTCGCCGCATGGACAGTGGATATTTTCATTATAGGCCTATCCCTGTGACAAGAACATGGCTTTCTAAGAGGTTATGGGCTGCCCTCACCACAGGAAGTGACTCAGTATTGACTGGCGCTGCACTTCCTGTATGCTGATTCTTCTGAACTCCTCTCAGGATGTTTACCTCCTCCTTCTCCCCGTCTACCTCTCCCACCCTCTACCCCGCCCCTTTCCCTGGTCATGTGACTTTATGTCGCACACTCAGCTGCAGTTCACGACCAGCTTGTCAAGGTTTGTTTTGGTCAACACGCTGTGAGCGGTGATAGCTGCTGTTGGGCGTTTTAGACACGCTTGAATAAAGGTGATTCATCTTTTTGTAGAAAGCTGCTCAAATCCAGCGGAAACACTTCAACAGCTAAAGCAGACACATCATCGATTCGTCTTAATAGATGACTCAGAAAACTCAAAGTGCACAATGCAGAGCACACGGGTTTAAATGCAAGCCACTCGTTTTGAATTAGTCTGTACTGAATTATTCCAAGTATATAGTGTCGATTACTCTGAGGGAGGAAAGGGGCTCTCTTCCTGAGCCACTGGGTTCACAATACTGCACACAAGCGGTGATGTAAGCTGCTGGAAATGACATAATGTGAGTGTGTGTGCGTGCTTGAAAAAGAATCAAGACAACTGGCTGATCCATACCTTTTTAAATGCTCTGTATTAGATTTGAGCCACTGCAGAGCATAACCATAAATGTCCACGTACTGGGCATCGCGTCTCGGGACATTTAACTTTACCGGTATTCGTTATGCCTACAATTAAACTTGCTTATTTCTTTTTGTTGTATCTCCCTTTCCCTCTAGTTCCCGGAGTGCGGCTTCTTTGGCATGTACGACAAGATCCTGCTATTCCGCCACGACTTAAACGATGAGAACATCCTGCAGAGGCTGACTGCAGCTGAAGACATCCATGAAGGAGACCTCATTGAGGTGGTGCTTTCTGGTATGCAAAGCAGTCTGATGTCATTTTGCACCTTACCGTAAATGTGTTTGTACAGTGTATGCACATTTTCCATCCTCTAATTTAAGAAGTCAAAATAGCATTAAGTGAAATGTTAGTTGGCATATTTGTAAAGGAAAAAAGACATTCTAGAGCTGCGCTGTTGAAGAGTAGAAAATAAAACTTCCCAGTTCAGATTAGTTATCCAGATAGTTTAGCTTACGGCCACATTCAGGTGCGAGCTACATGTGGACTGATTTTAATTAAATGCAGCTGCAGACAAAGAGTGTTACAGTTTGAGCCACTGACAGTTTTTTCATGCAAAAGCACAGGTCAGTTATTCGATGACTGGACTCAAACATAATTATTTTACTGCACTTCTTCTGTTCGGTGTCTATGCAGAATTAATGTATAATTACTGAGCTTGTGCCTGATTTGCATATTTAGTGATCGTATTTAGCCTTAATACGATGATGCTATCTGTTACTTACATTTTTTTTTTACCTTAAATACTGCTTTTAAGAAAAAATGTGTGTAATTTTACAGCTCATAACTCTAAATACAGAGGCTCATTATCCAAGGCAGATATCTCACATCCATCCAAGCTCCGCAGCGTTATTTCTGTTTATATTCTCGGGATTTCGAAGGGTTTGTAGAGCTTTTATTCAGAGACGGATTCACTGAACATTCTGTTCCTAAAAACATGGTGGAAACTATTTTTCCTGCCTTTTGATATCATTTTTTATTTATGAGCGATAAAATGAGATTTTTTAAATCTTAAATTCAACAAAGGAAACCAAAAATTTTGAGCTTGGCTTCATCCAGTGTTCATATTTCTGTTTTAGGAAAATATCTAAACGTGTCTTGTTTGCAGCTTAGACATCAGCGTATTGAGTGGTTTTAATAGGACGGATGATTGTCTTAGCATACGTGATAAACTGCTTTACTTGTGGTATATGTTGGAAGTTGTGACCCATTTACCTGCAGTGACTCCCCTAATATAAACCCAGCAGCAGACTTGTTCATGTATTTAGAGGATTATACTATAAACCAAATTCTTCTAAATCTGGCAGCGCACTTCCTCCAATTTGCCCAGTTTTTTCAGTCTTTTCTTATATACAAACTGTGATACAGTGCAGTGTGTTTGCTGGCACAGTGTTGCTGCTGTTTTAGACTTCTAGACTTCCAAAACAGGAGAAAAATGAATATAAAACTCCTCCGAGCAGTATAAACCACGTGTTTGCAAAGTCTAAACAATTGTCTGAAAGTAATACGCTTCAAGTATTCGAGTCAGCTTATTTTTTTTAAATTTTGGGCCCAGCCGTCGTTGCCACACCTTCATAAACACGGTCTTTTGTGTCTTGTTCGGGGGTCCCGTTGGGGCTGAGATGCTTGTTGTGAGCGTCCGCTGTGCTCTCCCAAAATAAATATTAGTCTTGAGTAATTTTCTGTCATTAGTGAACGAATACAAGCAGACAGTCCTCTCAAACACTTGCTTTCTGTGTGACATTTGAGTTTTTTCTTTCCATAATTTTCCACCTTTGCAAAACTACACAGGTGCTCGGTTTTTCTTTGTTATTTCCTGCGATGAATGAGCCGGCTTCCTCTGCGGTGCTGAGACCAACAAATGGCTTAGGATATCTGTTCTGCTCCAATCTGTGCTGCTGCTCCATCTGCCTCCACTGGGAAGCACCTGACACCACCTGTGCCGAGTTCCCCCCTCTCTCCTGGGCTGACAGTATTGTTTGCAGGGATTTAGTCAGGGGATGATTGTATAGTTTCAGGATCTGAGGATACTTCAGGCTGAGGAATGTAGACTAAAGACTGGAGAACTTCCTTCTTTTTGTTTCTGTCTGTGTTTGTCTTGTGCTCTCTTTTGTGTCAGTCTCTGTGGCTCGCAATTCCCTCCCCGCTTTCTCTCGTTCTAATCCCCCCCCTACCTGAACAAATCCGTCTGCAGGTGTTAGCGCCAACAGTGGAGCCAGGCGATTTATAACCTGAGACATACCTGCTGAAAACGGCTGTAGAAGATCTCAGATTTGCTACACATGGACACATGCTTCATCTCACAATCTGTGAACGCGACCTTCTTTTTGAGAGGCGCTTTGCATGTCGGACGCTTGATCTTTGCGTGTGAAACACAACCTTTTCCCACCGCGCAGTTTCTCTCTCGTCCTCGTCTCCATTCAGTTTTTCCTCGGCGAGCTTGTTTTTGGATTGCGCGGCTGTGGGAGAAGGACGGTCTGAATATCTCCTTCTCTGCAAGAAGCAGGCAGAAGTGGCTTTTTCTTGGCTGCGAGCTCAAAGAAAAAGGCTTGTTTTTCCTGCAGTAAGTGATTGTAGTAGACCCGCGGAGTGTAAACACGCTCTGATGTGCGGGGCGGCCCTATGCAGCGGACGCTGCGCAGGCCATCTCGGCCCATGAGGTTTGAGGTTTGGCCTGACCGAGTGTCCCTTTGTTCTCTTTCTCACTCCTCCTAAATTCCCACCCACTTTCACAAGCCCCTTATTCACCGCCACGGGCCGCGTGAAATTGATATTTTACAACACCTTCTGCTTGTCATAAATATAACTAACTTGTTTTTGTGAGATGGAAACTTTTGACTCCGAATGGAAACTCGGTGCCTCCGAGCGAACAGATAGCACATTCATGCGAGCCCCGCCGCTCGTGAGAAGCGCTCTGAAAAACAACGTGTCGAGTTTATGTTTGGAGTTGTTTGATACTTATTAGCACGATAACCATTACGTAACACTGTGACTGCTAAGAAGTGGCCAGTTGTTTTGCAGACGCGTGTGCAGAAAGCTCATGAAGGCTGCCTTTCATGTGTCTGTGCGAGAAAGCTGTGCGCGCCTCTCGACATGTGACCTCGCTGAGCTCTTTCTCCTCTTCTTCCCAAACTGCCAACATCACCCCACCAGCCGCTGTAGTTCTCAACAGCCGCCCCGAATTGTCTCAGATCTTTAATATTCCTGCAAATGTCTGTAAATATTTTCCATTCCAGGGATTATGACATCAAAATGTTCGCTTTCCCATTTGACCTGTCCTGCATTCTTTGCTCAAATTAAGAGATCGGATTCGTTTAACCAACTGCCTTTTTGTTTCCTCCCGTCTTTACTCATATCAGATGCTGCTTTTAAGCAAAGGACGTTTCACATTTGTTTTTTTAAGCTGAAAATGCCTTTATCGGCAAACACAACGAAATGGCGTTGGCACATTTGCTGCTTAACCCAAGAGTAAATATTAACCGTCCCCTCGCTGGTCACTGCTGCCACATAAGTGGCTGCATAGGAACAGAGAAGGCACAGTCACACACTCAGGGATATTTGGCAGCATGAGCCTTATCTTACTCATCTTCACATCTTTGATGATTCACAGCCGTGATTAGCCAAGTCTTGTTGCGACAAACTCACTGTGTCTCATTTGACACAGAAATGTGGAAAAGATGAAGACAAATAAGAGAGAAACAGAAAGAGAGACATATTCACGGCTCTGCTGATTCGATATTCGGTTCTTAATAACAAACAGGAATAAAATGCATGTCTCTGGTGTCTTATGGGCGTGCCCTATCACTCGATCACGCTCGTGTGGTGCAGATGTGATGCCCTCTACTGCAGCAGTGAGACATAGCATCCGTGTTTATGTGCAGCAAGTGGAGCGTGTAGAGTAGATCTTCCCTGTGCAAGCTCACATGCACCTACTTACTTACATTAAAAAAATGTATTCAAAAATATTTATTCTTCATCTTTAATGATTTTCTTTAGATTAGAAGTTTCTTTGTGAACTTTTCTATTTTCTATCTTTACTCAAACAACCTCTGCTTTTTGTTTCTAGCTCAAGCCACAGTTGAAGATTTCCAGATCCGACCCCATGCCCTTTACGTCCACTCCTACAAGGCCCCCACCTTCTGCGACTACTGTGGCGAGATGCTATGGGGTCTCGTTCGGCAGGGGCTTAAATGTGAAGGTTAGACGCTCGCGCACACAGTGGCACTCACACTTGGATCAATTCTACCAAATTCCCAAGAACTTGGCCTTTATCTGCACCTTCCTTTTTATTGCATCCGCACTCAAACACAGATCCAAAAACACACCACATATCTGACCTTGTAACTGTATCAGGGAGATATAGAGGCAAACAAGAACAATGTGGCGCAGGCACAGTAGCCGTTGAAATGCTTGACATTCAGATCCCAGTGGACTCATGTCGCGCTCGCTTTCCTTACATTTTTTCACATTGTTGAATCATACTTGAAATATGTTCCTGTGTTTTCGTGTCAAGTTCTCCGCTGACAGCGAATTAAGTTTAAAGAGAGAAGATTTATTCACCAGTGAAACATTCCTGGCCATAAATTCTCGTACTAAGCCTGTTTATCAGCAGGACCATCTTGTGGCTGATTTGCAAAATGAGACGTTTCTTCACTGCATTTCTTACAATGATGTCATCTTTCCATGATTTCGGTAACTAATGTGATCTGTTTTTTTGCTTTATTAAGGATGTGGGCTAAACTACCACAAGCGCTGTGCCTTCAAGATCCCAAATAACTGTAGTGGTGTGAGGAAGAGGCGACTGTCCAATGTTTCACTGCCTGGACCATCTCTCTCTGTCCCCCGACCTTTACCTGCTGAAAATGCAGTGGTTGTCCTGGATGAGGTAAGCTCGGATTGCTGTGAGTGTGACTGGATGAAGGTGCTCAGACAGAAAAAGAGCAGCGTAGAGGAATTTTAGTAGCTGCGAATTCTCTGAACAGAAGGGAAAATGTGAGGATTACTGTTTTATCCATATGTAAAATGAACTCACTGAAGCGTTGTCTTAAATGGAAAAAATGAAGACAAATGAGGGAGAAGCAGGAAGAGAGACATATTCGGAGCAAGTATGTGTGGCAGGCAATCCACATGCAGCTCACAGGCTCTGCCTCCACTGTTAAATGTTTCTAAACTTATCAAATGTGGCTCTTTTCCACGAGTGAACCTCCTGGGCCCTGTTGTAGAATACCACTGATGCAGAAAATTGAATTGTGCTGCACAGAGCTCTGTAGAGAGATCCTCAGCGAGGTCTTACGAAACCGTTTTTGCATAAGCCCACACTGAGATATTCCCCTCTTGTCTTTGTCTCTCCAAAAGGTCACCAGGAAATGTAATTATGTTAATGACATTAAAAGTCCATAGAAGTCCAAGTTTATGTATCTGCTCACTTGTTGGCAAAAAGTGAAGAAAACTCCATTCCTGACAGATTCCAGACTGCTCCATTTATCCACCAAAAAATCACAACTAAACTCTAATGTGTGGCAAGAGTGACAAATCTGATCGTCTGTTTGGACCAATAGAAGCGCAGACACTACTCACTTTTTTCTTTGATGTCTTTTACTCACATGTCATTACTCACTCTCTTTGTCTGTCACTCACATACTCCCTCTGAGGCTCTTCTACCTCTGTTTTTATCTTATTTATTTATCTTTCCTCTTTCGCTTCATTCCTGCATATGGTTTTTAATTCTTCCGAATACCCCCCGTCTTCCCCTTTTCCCATCCAACCCCAGCAGCAGAGGTCCCATCAGGAGGCAGGGAAGCGCATCCCGTCCTGGAGCGGCCGGCCTATTTGGATGGATAAGATGGAAAAGACACGGGTTAAGGTGCCACACACGTTCGCCATTCACACCTACACTCGTCCTACTATCTGCCAGTACTGCAAGCGTCTGCTCAAAGGTCTCTTCCGCCAGGGCATGCAGTGTAAAGGTAGGCTGACCAATGAAGATTCCGCTACAGAGGACGTGGAACAGCAGCGCTTTACCATAACTATCATAACATTTTGTTTCCTAGACTGCAGATTCAACTGCCATAAGCGCTGCGCTTCAAAGGTACCAAGAGACTGTTTAGGTGAGGTGGACTTCAATGGAGGTAAGTTCTACATCATCTTTCAAACTGACAGTTGTTTATTTCTCATATTTGTAATTCTAATAAAAGTTCTTGTGCAGAGCCAGCGAGCCCTGGGCCGGACTCAGACACTACCATGGATACAATGGAGGTAGACAGTAATTACATGGATTGTGGCAGAGGGATGGATGATCCAGATGAACCATCCACTCCGGATGAGAGGATGTTTGAAATGGACTCGCCGTTGCTGGACAGGGAGAAGGATGAAGAGCCCATCAAGACTATTAGGTATGAACATACTGGTTAATCCAGGCCAGCTGTAGCCCAAAACTGCAGTTGTTTACATTTGATGTTCCATGGAGACTAAGAGGCACCAGTGACACCAGGGACAAGGACGACTGCTTAACTCTTTCCTTCATAAACACGACATCTGGCGACCTCACCTGTACGCTGACCAGTTTTGCCACCTGAGTTCATGTCAGTAAAGTTGTTGTTTGGGGACCATTAGGATAGTTTGTGGGTTTTTTCAAGGGATAGAAATCAGCCTCACTAACTTCTTTGTTCTCTAGGCAGCCCTTACATAGAACAGACACCGCTCAGTTCAGAAAAGAGCTTCAAGGATTATTCCTAGAAGACAAGTCAGACACGGGATTAAAAAGAAGAGCTAGGGTGGATTGGCCAATCAGGTGGCTAATCTATCAGCTGATGTGGGATGAATGTCAGAGTTCATGCAAACTACCCAGTCCTGGTTTCTGATGTCATTTTTGTATTTTTGTTCTACTCTACTGTAATCGAACAATTGAGTAAAAAGGGATCAGAAACAAGAAGAGGAGGGGAAAACATTCAATGTTGCTACTCTGATCTAAACTGGGGAATTTGGGGTTATTTTTTAACTACTAGGTCTAACGCTCCAACTCCTCTGTTTATTCTCCAGCTGCAGCAGCAGAGTCTGATGTTTCCTAGAGTGTTACGTAAAACATAAAAAAAGCGCTTCACTTCGTATGAGGGATGTCTCAGGAAGTACCTGCTGTGCTCTGAATAGTGTTTCGTTAATGAAATCATAACTCTAAGAGAGTTACGGTAATTGTGATAATCATCACTAAATTAAAAAAAACCTCCTTTTATGTTTGCAGCCCCTCCACTAGCACCAACATCCCTCTGATGCGGGTGGTCCAGTCCATCAAACACACCAAGAGGCGGAGCTCCACGGTGGTGAAGGAGGGCTGGATGGTTCATTACACGAGCAGGGACAACCTGGTAAGACTGATAACCCCAAAGCCCAACAGAGGAGCTTAGCCTGAAACGGCTCTGCCCTAAATGTATGCTGGGGAAACTGTTCACATGTGCTGAAATCAGCACACGAGGTATTTTCCTTGTGAAATAAAATTTTGAACTTCCGTAATATTGGTAGGTGGTCCATATTTTGCCACTAGGACTAACTCGGGGTTTCCATTTAACAGCGGAAGAGGCATTACTGGAGGCTGGACAGCAAAAGCCTGAGTCTCTTCCAGAACGACACCGGAGCCAAGTTCTACAAAGTAAGATTAAAACTATTATTTGTGCCGTGTTCTTGGAAAACCACGGCTTCAGCTCGATCTGGTGCGACGAACTATTATTCATAAGAATATCAGAAAAGCTGCAGCGTCCAGTCTGTGCAGAGTTATATCATGAAAATCCCCACAGTGCTTAGACAGAATTCACCCGCTCTACTGTCTTATGATTCAAACGTGTCATTTAGGAAAGATCTGTTTTCATATTCAGGTATAAAGGCTGTCTGTCATGCTTATGAGTGATATGTAAATAAAATCTACCCGGTGGCAGCCGCGTGACTCAGCTGAAGGCTGCCGCTTCACAACTGTAAACTACCCTGTGGTCACTTCGTCCCACTGAAATTCCCCCTGTGGTTTTTCACAATGCCGCCTGGTCTCTTCGCTGCGTGAAGTGAAAGGGTCGCAGTCTCGGAGTTTCTGCGTTTCATCATCCTCAGTATCACTAACAGCAGAGATGGGACATTTAAATGGGGTTTTGAAGAAAATGTCAGACTGCGTCTGTCACACAAAAGAGTTTTGATTAGCTCTTATTTTAGGGAAGAGAAAACATTTCTAAAAAGTCACGCTGCAAGCTGTTGAATGCTGGCTTTGATTCTTTTTCTAATCCTCAGTGTTCGCTTTGAGTGAAATGTGAAGATTTAAACGTGTAAATGGAGTTGAGGAGAATATGTGTGACACTTCCCTCTCGGTGGCAGCGCCGTAGTCAGTCATTACGCCGCCACAGGGGCTTAATAGCACAGTAATTACACAGTGAGGCCTGGGGGAGGGAAGTACAGGCTGCAAGGTAAAGACTTCCACATGTGTGTCGTGTGTGCTGTGTAGGATGGAGTGTGTAATTATCTTATTGTTCTTCTCGCTTTGTGCGTTTTGAGACTTTAACACCTCTTCGAATTGTGGTCAGAGGTATGTTGCAACAGGGCGCTGAGTAGGACGCGGCAGAGTTTCCACTTCGGTTGAGCGAGTCTCAAACAGGTGGTCTCGCTCACAGCTCTGCTTATTGTCCTGCCTGCCTTCTTTTTGTTTTGGAAAAACTGTATTCCTTCCCCCTTCTCTCCCAATTATTCTGTCACACCCTGCGTCCCCGGCCACTAAATCCTCGGAGAGGAAACCTCAGCGGGGACCGACTCCTCGGGTGTGTTTACAGGGCAGCTTTATGTGGTTCTTTATTATCAACTTGGCACTCAGCTATGTTTAAAAGCTTCAGGAGGCTAATTGAAGGCTTGCTGTAAATCTCCTTTTTATGCTCCAAAGTTTGGTCTTTGCCTCTTGCTTCAGAGCAGAGGATTTTTATCTGGGACAGATAACATGAAATTATTTCCTGTAGTATTTTGGGGGGAGGGGGTCTTCTACCGAAACCACTGCTTCTCCATGAGCTCCGCTGGTATCCGGAAAGCCGTCTGCCTCGAGCTCTTTCCTTTCATTCCTCCCCAGTTTCTAGCCTGCTGCTCATCAGTGTGTGGCCGCCGTCCTCCCCACTCCCCTTTTCTTTATACCTCCAATCTGATTAGTGGTGGTCGCGTGGTGGCTCGCTCGCCAGGCATGGCAGCCATTTTCACCATTTGGAAGCCATAACAGCTCCTCGTTTGAAGATGAGACCCCTGTACTTGTGGCTTTCTCTGAAGAAGCTTTCATGGGGTGAGGGGGCTTCTCCCTGTCACAGTATCACACACGCCCACTCACAAACGACCCCGTGGAGGAACAGTAGTTGCTTGGTCTTTTGTCATGGTGGCTAGTGGTAGCGCCAGCGCCTCGTGCTCAGATGGGGCCTCTTGCTGGCCCTGCCTTGTAATCAGGGAACCGCTTGAGCCGCCGCAGAGCGCGCTCACGTGACCAGGCCCTGCTAACCACAAGCACTTCATCCGATACTGTGTGGTGAGCCACGCAGAGCAGACGGCGTGCGCCTCTTTGAGCCCCCATTGGTTGGAAATTGTCTGTATTTGTAATTTCGGCCCTCCCTCCCACCTTTGATTTGACAGTGAGTTAGACGGGCGAGGGGGGGACTTTTAAAGTGTAGTGCGGCTCCACTTTCTGTTTGTGCTCACAAGTCAAGCGAAGAGGAAGGCAGAAAGTTAGAGCGGGGACGACTGAGTGCGGCGTGTGTGTGAGTGTTACTTCCTCTGTCTTTACCTTTTGTGTATCATTGCTTAATTGTGGATTTGCTCATTTAGTAGCATGATATGTTTTTGATTGAAGAAAGTATTTTTTCATATTCTTCTAGTTTACAGCCAGCATCGGCTATAAGAGAATTTTATTTCTCCACCACTCCATCCCAGCACTTTATATGTGCAGCACTGTGTGGAGGGGGAGTGTATCTGTTTGTTTTGGTTCCTTCAGAAGTTCATGTGCTTTTGGACTTGCATAAATTGTTTACTGGCTGAAACATTAAGAAAGACAGAAAAGAAGACTCTGATTCTTGCTTGAGCTTTCATTGAGAAATGCAGATTGTGCTCTTTTATGTTTCGTCTGCTTTTCTTATCAGTTCTCCTTCACTGCTTCCACAGGAAATCCCTCTGTCTGAGATCCTCCAGGTAGAGCAGTGCAGAGACTACAGCAATCTGGCTCAGGGCAGCAACCCTCACTGCTTTGAGATCATCACAGCCACCATGGTCTACTATGTAGGGGAGAACAACGGCAGTCACTACCACAGCCCTGCTCTGGCCGCCTCTGGAGTCGGCATGGAGGTGGCTCAAGGCTGGGAGAAGGCCATCAGACAGGCCCTGATGCCCGTCACGCCTCAGCCCAGTGTAGCCAGCGCTGCCGGCCAAGGCAAAGATCACAGTAAGTAGAATTTATCAGAACTTTCTTGTGCTAAAAATGCTGCTGATATGTCTCCGGATGAAAAACTTGTTTGTTTTTTTTATCTTGTGTTTGTAGGAATGAAATCAGCTTGCATGTGTCTTTGGTTAGCGCATGAAGCAGGCTTGTTACCTGTCGCGGCCGTGACAAACGAGAACTGTTTGCTCATATAGAAAGAAAAAGGCTCTCTGTGCCCCGTCGTAGGCGATTTTTAAACTACTTTGATGACCTTAAAGTTGATGTCCTCGGTTAACTTTTGCTAGCCTGGGAAAGCCCTGACTCAGGGTCTGTAGGCCAAAGGAAGTGGGGCTGTGAAGTCACTGTTTGGGGATGACAGTAGTGTAAGTAGTGAAGTGACATAACTGTATGGAAACTGAGCTTTTGATGATCAGGGCAGCGATAATATCTCCCAGTCGCCGAAAAAAGAGAGAGAAATGAGAAATGTGCACAGTTTGAGGTTAACTGATAACGAGTGTGACATGAGAAAACCTGAGAAAAGACGCTAGAAGCCAACCTGATAAGATAACTCAAACTCACTACATAGATGTGAATTCATTTACTAATGAACTAAGCCGCACTTTACTATCAGTAGATGAAACGTTTAATCTGCAGATGACAGCGTGATGTGTGTGTTTGTCTCTGTTAATTGAAAAATCAAAGCATTGTCTTAAGAGTGAAATTCCATCTTTGTGTCGAGCATTACCTCACAGAAAGTTTTCTGCTGGCTTTTATTTCCGGCTTTCTGTCCAATGCCTAGTATGCAGAATTCGTTTCTGCGGCTGTCTGAATCCCCAGTTTTGAAATGCATTGCATACTTTCAGCATTCAGTCACAGATAGCTTTCCAGATCCATTTTATAGCCAATTCATTGTGTAATAAAATGCTTCATTATGTGGGGCTGTGAGTTATTGCATGCAGCTGTGATAAGATTGCAGGTTTTAGAAAAGTAGAAATACTGGTATCTGAGCAAGCTCTGATTACAGTTGCTTAAGAATTTAGTGTCTGCTTTGTGCATTGGCAGAGTGATGTTGTGTTACTTGTTGAATGTGGAAATATCATGTGTTTCCCTCTGCAGAAGAGCTGTCTATTAGCATATCTGTGTCCAACTGCCAGGTCCAGGAGAATGTGGTAAGTGGAGCTTCTTTTTTCTCTTAGATGCTGTTGCACAATTTCCCAGCACAGCTCGCAAATTTATGCATTCATATGCTATTAAAATAGTTGCTGTGGTTAGATCAGAAACGGTATCCTAGTGCGCCTGTCGCCGAAACATCCAGTGGAAGCTTTTACGCTGCAGAAATGGGGAAGCTGCAGACTCATTTTTTGGTCATGGAGTTTTCGTCTCAGTTCCACTTCTGCATTTAGTGAAAGTTGCCTATTTGGCAATACCTGAAAAACATTTTGGAAGGGCAGCAGTTCTGCCAAAACCAAAGATGATGTAACTGTTGCAGCATGGAAAGTTCACTTGAATGTTTCCACAAGCAGAGGAAAATTAACGGTGTAAATTACGCCCGTGTAGGATATTGCCTCGGTGTACCAAATATTCTCCGATGAAGTGCTGGGATCGGGCCAGTTTGGCATTGTGTATGGAGGTATGTTTGTGCTTTAGTTAAAAGGAACATTTTATATTCAGAGTCTGTGCTGTGAATTGATGTTTTTTTCTGTTTGGCAAACACAGGCAAACACAGAAAGAGCGGCAGAGATGTGGCCATCAAGGTTATTGACAAGATGAGATTTCCTACCAAGCAGGAGAGTCAGCTGCGGAATGAGGTCGCCATATTACAGGTAATCACTGATAACAGTTAAGAGAAAATCCGCTCATTACATTTGTCACTGGTTTACATTTACTCTTAGCGTATTCCTCGTTTGAAGCCTTTGATCTGTTTCTCTGTAGAATCTGCATCACCCGGGTATCGTTAACTTGGAGTGCATGTTTGAGACGCCTGAGCGGGTGTTTGTCGTCATGGAGAAGCTGCACGGCGACATGCTGGAGATGATCCTGTCGAGCGAGAAGAGCAAACTGCCTGAACGAATCACCAAGTTCCTCGTGACGCAGGTCTGCACCGCTGAAACACGGCTCTCTGCCCTTTCACGCAGCCTTCTTCACCCCTCAGTTCTCAAATCAAGATTCTGTCCTAACACTGAAATAGTCAGATAATGACAGTCACTGAGAATCGAGCAGCTTTGCTGCATGTTTCATCCTCTTAGTCCTCTTAGTGCTGTGTCTTCCTTCCTTTCTCTCTCTGTGCCCTATTTTGGGGGTGTAATGGGTCTGTGCTCCAGCTCTGGGGCCTGTTTATTCTTGTGGTGAGCTGATTGGAGGGAATTGTTTACGGGATTTGGTCTGTATGGCATCACGGCCTCCTCCCTGGCTGTGGATTACAGCCTTCAGTATACTGGTGGCTCTGTGGCCTGATTAGAGGAGCAGCAGGCTCCGTGGATCTCGGGTACCAAACGGGAGCGGGGCCATTAACAACAACCCCATTAGCTGCGGCAGGCTCGGCTCAGATGTGGCCAGGAGGGCCTCTGCTAAAGCCAGGGTCAGGATCGGCGAGCCAGGCCCTCTGTGGTCTTGGGGCAGGGCCACGGGCAGACATGCATGCAGCGCTCACTTACAATAGGCCTTGTGAATATAGATGAGATGATGAGATGAGATCATGTGTCCCTTATATGGCAGTGCTGGTAAAGATGCAAGTATTTAAGGGCATTAGTATGTTTATATTGCTACTATTTTTCCACATGGCAGCACCATAGAGTCTCCTCCATACATTACACAAACAGCACTCTGTTCATAGCGTACGGTTTACAGACTTTACAGTGTTTTGATCTTTTTAGCTGAATCTGTGCTTATGGGACTTGTGTGTTTGCAACAGATCCTTGTGGCCTTGAGACATCTGCACTTCAAAAACATTGTTCACTGTGACTTGAAGCCTGAGAATGTACTGCTGGCCTCTGCAGAGCCTTTCCCTCAGGTGAGAGCATATATATTTATGTGTTTTGCATGTGTGGAGCTGTGTGTCCGCAAGCGTGTGTACGTTAACACGCCGCTTTTCTTCTCCAGGTGAAGCTGTGTGATTTTGGCTTTGCCCGTATCATTGGGGAGAAGTCCTTCCGGCGGTCGGTGGTAGGAACTCCGGCTTACCTCGCTCCAGAAGTGCTGCGCAGCAAAGGCTACAACCGCTCCTTAGACATGTGGTCAGTGGGAGTGATCGTGTACGTCAGCTTGAGCGGCACGTTCCCGTTTAACGAGGACGAGGACATTAATGATCAGATCCAGAATGCGGCCTTCATGTACCCTCCTACGCCCTGGAAGGACATCTCTGCAGAGGGTATGAAGACAAAGAGCTACTTGTTTGTTTGCTTTCAGAAATGTTTGATCTGATCTGACCTTCTCGTCTGTGAGCCGTTGGCGGCCTGCTGCACCTGTAACTTAAATGATATTCACACATGTAGCTCCTCCCCACCCACACGTCTGGGTCATCTGAACTTTATATCAGCTTTTTTATGTCTGTGGTTGAAATGAATCACTTTCAAATCTCCCCAACTGCCCAAGTTGCACCTCCTCCCACTCACTGTATATAGTATATTATGCGGTAAAAACACTGAATATATATATATATTGATAGATATATCTTTTTGCAGGTCTTGTTCCCTTTAACTCAAAACCACCTCTGACTTATCTTGTTCACTTACACTTCTTGTACTCTTAATTCCTCCGCAGCCACAGATCTGATCAACAATCTCCTCCAAGTCAAAATGAGAAAGAGATACAGCGTGGACAAGTGTCTCAGCCATCCCTGGTTACAGGTATGACTCATTTGCTTTTTCCTCTCTTTAAATTGCAATTCGAGCTAATTCTCGGAGTCATAATTCTGTCAAGTCATCAATTCCCTTCATTGAAAATAATCTACAGATGAGTTGTGTGAACATCAATAGTCAGAGCATGGAAAACATGAATAGAGTTAAAGGTTCCGCCCACTTGTGGTTATGTCACCATTAAACTTCCTGGTGGTGAACTAGAAGTCAAACAACCACAACAGCGCTGTCCCTGCACATCAGTACACTGTGTCAATAACAGCGTTTGGCTTACGTGGCCAAGACCTGGACCGGGAAGCCCGAAAAGTAAAGGGAGTGAAAACTGTGTATAAATGCTGTGAGCTGAATGCAGATTTACCTCTGAATCAGTTTATGTGAAGCTGCTTCTCCACAATGAGCCAGATTTACTGACAGTTTCATGTCTGTTTTGGTCAGGACTACCAGACGTGGTTGGACCTGAGGGAGTTTGAGACGCGGCGAGGCGAGCGCTATATCACCCACGAGAGCGACGACGCGCGCTGGGAGGAGTACGCGGACGAGCACAGTCTTGTTTACCCTAAACATTTTATCATGGCTCCCAACCTGGACGACATGGAAGAGGACCCCTAGTGGAGTGGGAGACTTGCTACACCACATGTATCTCACAGAGTTTTCATGAAGCTTTGAAAGTGGCAGGTTTTCCCTCCAGAACTCTCGAAACAGAGATAAGCCAGTCGGGTGGAGAGGCTGGAAAAGTGGGAAAACCCAGCAGAGGTTGTAGTGTGAAGCACCGCTACAAGCAGGCGGAGATGCGTGTCACAGAAACGCATTAAGACACTGTCACAGGAGGCGAGTGCTCCCTCTTCCTTTGTGTATAATAATACGAAAACATTCCATGAATTTGTTCAATCTTGGTTCATTTTTTAAGGACTAGCAGAACAATGTTTATGAACACGCACAGTTCTGGATGAAGGCCGTGCTCGTGATGTAAGAGAGGAGTCGCGTGAAGCGCTTACGCCGGGATTAAAGGGCACTTTTCGCAAGGGATTTACAGCCTGAGAATTAAACACACGAGTTTGTTCTCATTTCTAAACTGTTTGTGAGACTGTCCTGTGGCATGAAACTGGAACTATCACGCAGATTTGTCTGGGTTTTTTAATGTATTTTAGTAATTGTGGTAGGTTTTTGCACTATATTACCAATTTCCATAGCAACTGAATAGAAAACACTATTCACTGCTACAGAACGCAAACTGTTTTTACATTTCCCGTCAATATTCAAAGTTAGAAACGGTGTCACGCAGTATTAGCTCCTTTGTCTCAGATCCCAGCAGGTGTTTTTAACCTACGTGTGTTCAGAGTGTGATCTGTTCATGGCAGCTAGTAGTGTGCAAGTTTTATCGGCTTGCTCTCGGAGAGAGAAACCAACAAACCCTGACCAAATATGTTACATTTCATTTCGCTGTTTCCTTTCAACTGTTTTCCTTTTTTGACTTTGTGAATCTTTTGTGAAGGCCGTAACCCTGAAGTGTAGTTGAATGCAATACAACAAGGAACGGACTCTTTGGTTCGGCATCACATTTTTGTACTTTCACTGTTTTCTTGAATGTGACCGTTGAAGCGCTCCAGTGCTGGGACGTGTTCTTTGATGTTCTCCGGGGTTGCGGTCGAATAGTCAAAAAAGTCATGTCCTGTGTTCTTGTTTCTCTAAGAAAACATCACAAGGTGAAGGAAAGGTGTGCACGAGAATTCACAGAGAACCTGGTGCGTCCACACTAGGCTGTTTAGCACTCGATGATGAATAATGTTGATTAAGATCAAGTTCACCCTTTGCTTTCATGCTGGCTGTATAAACATAGAAAATCTTTCCATCCATCCGCCCACTGGCTGCTCCTGTTCTGAGTTTGGGTTGTGGGGGGCAGTCTAAGGAGAGCCCAGACCTCTCTGTCACCAGCAAGCTCCTGTAAGGGCTGAGACATGCCAAAGCCAGCGGAGAGATACATTTCCCCCCAGTGGCACTAAGAAAACATCTTAGTTAGAAGCACAAACCACCCCAACTAGCTCCTGAATGGTAAATGGCCTGTTTATATAGCGCTTTACTAGTCCCTAAGGACCCCAAAGCGCTTTACATATCCAGTCATCCACCCATTCACACACTGATGATGGCAGCTACATTGTAGCCACAGCCACCCTGGGGCGCACTGACAGAGGCGAGGCTGCCGAACACTGGCGCCACCGGGCCCTCTGACCACCACCAGTAGGCAACGGGTGAAGTGTCTTGCCCAAGGACACAACGACCGAGACTGTCCAAGCCGGGGCTCGAACCGGCAACCTTCCGATTACAAGGCGAACTCCCAACTCTTGAGCCATGATCGCCCCAAACTCCTCACCCATCTCAGGGAGAGTACAGCCTCCCTTTGGAGGAAGCTCATTTCTGCCATCTGCGATCTCATTCTTACCCAGCTCGTGGCCATGGGTGAGCGTAGGAAACGTAATCACAGCTTCACTTTTACACTCAGATTTCTGTTCGTTACAGCAGATTGGTACAGCGTCCTCATCATTGCTGCTACCACGTCAGTCTGCCGTTTCAGCAACCAGAGATCGACCCTGTGGCGCCTCCTTCGGGCGGTAGGCTCACAGGGCGGCGAGTACACGGCCAGACCCCATGGGCTCAGGCCTGAGCCATGATGTTTGTTTCATAGGAGTAAATGTAAATCTGTGCTCTTACCAAGAACCTATTTGCCTTGGGAGACCCTACCAGGGCCAAATGCCCCTGACAACACAGCTCCTGAAATCACATTTGATGAATAATATTTTTTTAAAAATCGCAGTCCTGTTCTCCTTTTTATTTGTTCTTCAAACTAAACAGATGTTCCAGTTTACCTGAGCTGTCTTCAGCTGTGAAAGCATTAACGCTCAGTCTGATGATACACAGTTAATACTTTTAGTCTATTCTTTATTTTCAACAAACGCTTCAAACTCACGTTAAAAAGTGCTTTACCTCTCAGCTTTAGCTTTAATATATTCTTAAAGATTCAAAACATATAAACATATTAGGATGTTATGGCATAAGATGATTTTTGATCTAATGATGCAACGCTTTGAATTATGGGAAGCCGCCGTGTCCCCACATTTCTTAAATGAAGGTCAGCGTGTGTCCTAAACGTCACCTTTCCTCAGCAGAGAATTCAACCAACACTTATCACACCCTCCTTGAAAAAAACGACTATTCGACCTCAACCCAGCTATCTGAAATGTTTCATCACCAACGTGGGCGAAACTGGCTTTTAAACAGAACAAAATATCAGGAGTTCCACGTTCATTATGTTGTCCGATCATTTCACACGGGAGCGAGTTTATATTTGCTCCGTCGGTGTGTTTGGGAGTATGTTCCAGTTTCCTTTCTCTGTCTTTGTTGCCGCTGGATTGGCAGATGTCAGTGTTTTGTATATTTCAGTACATACCAATGAAATAAAAAAACCTAAATGAAACATTTGGTAAATTTCTGAAATCCTCTCTGTTCACACTGCTTTCTTTAGCGGTGTATTATGTTATATACCTGCTGTCTGGAGATCACGGCTCCAGGTGCAATAAAAGATAAAGACGGGCTTTGGATGTGTGCGCAGAGGCAGCAGTGGCTCGTAGTTTTCTGTGTGATTCATCAAGATGTGCGCGTGCGTCGTGCTTTCACATGTCGGATCCCGTTCACAGCAGCTGGATGTGATTGTTGCACCACACCGAGCAGTTTACTGAGCCAGCCACTCGCCACAAGAGAGTAATGACATAGTTAAAGAGGGCGGTAGTGAGGAAGGGGGTTGTGGAAAACTCTGAAAACACTCGGGATGAAAGCTATCACAGATCCCTTCGAGTATCAGCTCCAGTGTAATGGATGGGCCTATTGTAAGGTAGGCCCACAATAAACTGCTACAGGGAACAGACAGCTGTCAATAATTTAGAAAAGTGTTTGAAGTTTCCTTCACTGGATATAGACTGTGAAGTAATCACAACTATCCCTGCTGCAGCTCTTTTTTCCTCTCTCTCTAAGGATACATGATACTGCTCACCTCTATCTATTAGCATGAATGCTTTCAAGATGTGCACTTCCTTTGCAGTCCTTATGACCCCGTTAACCTCTGAGGGGGGGACACGGAGGCTCTGATACGCTGAACAGGCCCGAATACAAGAGGACTGTTTAAATCTATTCTCTTTCAAAACGCATACCGTACCTCATAATAAAGTGTAGCTCGTCTTCGTTAAATTAGAGGATACAGCGTAAGAAGAATCAGGCAAAAAACAGGCAATGTCTCCCTCGTCTGGTTGCCCAGAGGTGTAAAGGTTTCAGTCATTCATGCGTTCCTTTAACCTGTCGTGGCCCCATGAAGCACCAGCAAACCTTTGCTCTTATCTAAACACATTCAACCCTAACATTTAACCGTGTTACTCCTTTTTCTGAGCTCAACTTCATTATTTTGTAGAAGCCATGCATGGCCCTGTGTGTAGCTTACAGAGGTGTAATAAGGAAAGTACATTAAACTTTTTACAGAAGCTGGATTTTTTTGAAAGTTTTACACTGTGCTTTTGAATTTTTGTTGGAAAAATCAAACCAGAAACAAATCATTTACTCAAGAGCGACGTGCCTATAAAGTGTCTTTAAACACTTGCTGTCATATTTATTGTGAAACTGTAAGATGAGTTTAGCATCAGTTGCACAGTTCTGATGGGTTTTCTCCAGGACACAGAAGTTACGTGGATGACGTTACTGAGTATAGAGTGCTCATCATACAGGGCGGTGTTATGAGACGTTATCAGAATGGAAGAACAAGACTGTTAGATAGTCTTAAGCAGTGTCAGTATTTTTACTTTGTCTGTATCCAAAGAGAAAACTGTTCTCTGTGCTGCCAGGAGGTGTCACTCTCTGTTGGTTTATCCACTCAAATTTGAAAGGAAGGCTGGTTGTGGCTATTACTGAAAACAGATGATCCTGGAACCAGCAGATTATTATTTCTTTACAAATGAGAGAAATATATAATCAATGTATTACAGTCTATAACATTAAGAATTTGCCTTTGCATATACTGAAAACTACAGTGTTATCAGTCACACATCACAGCTGAATAGAAGCTTCTTTTGGAGACTATGACACACATCTGAAAGGCTGATATAAAATTTACACATGAAGACCGAGCTACAAGATCCCTCACAGAAATAACATCTGCTGAAGGATCAGAGACAGCGATCTGTCTTTGTTGCCTTGATCCTGGCGTCTGTGTGTATTTGTTGAGCAGCTTTGCCTGGTAGCTTCTCGGCAGGTCTCTCGTCACCTCGAGGGGAGGTCCGCGTGTCACGCACCCTCGCAACCCCCATCCACGGCCGCTTCTTCTCGCTTCTGCTCGGTGTCATCCGTTCCTCCGCTTCTCCTCTCCGCTCCATGCTGGGTATCCATGAGCTTCAGACCAAACAAGCAAACAAACAGAACAACAGAAAAACCCATCACCCGGACGAGGTTGGGCTGGGCTTGGGGGGAGAGATGGGGATGGCTCTTGTTTGCTCTCTGGGCCAGTTCTATTTCACTGTGATGGCAGAAAAGGCCTCCCAGGACACTACTACCCACACTTGTGTTTGACTTCCAACGGGGATCAAGGTGGTCTTCACTCTGCACTGACGCATCATCTTCTGATCCAATACACAGCTGGCTGCAGCCACAGGCCTGTAGCCTTTACCTAGGCTGGTCCTGTACTCGTTAGCTGTGGTCTTGGCCTTTATCTGAGGGACTTGTTGGTGTGGCATTCAGCTGGTGGCCTTTCGTCCTCACACAGCTGTTTTTCAGCCATGGCCAGCAAATAATGAACTTTAAGTAAATGTTGACTGTGATAAATAATCTAAAACACAAATGCCAAAGAAATGATCAAGATAGGTGTTTAATATTAAACTGATTAAAGTGAAATCTTTTCCTGTTTCTGCATTATGTTCTTTGTCGTATTATCAGTCAAGTGCACTCTGCCTGGAAGAGGCTGTAACCCACACGTTAGCCACGCTGCTCCGGTTTTCTTCCCGTGTCCTCTGTAAAGGGCATCACTCCCAAAAAGCACTCTTCCCTCTTCTTTTCACATTAAGACCCAGGTGGTAAATGAATGCCTCCGCAGAGAGCTTTTTACCTTGAGGCCGGTGTGTATTGGAGATACGGGTGGGGAGTGCTTCACAAGATCAACTGCATGTTTACCGTTTGACTAATAATTGAAATTTACCGAAAGGTTGTATAATACGTTAATTAAATGCTTTGGCATCACTTTAGACTGTATATTGGAGAAAAAAAAGGAGGTGAAAGCCGTGTGTGTGGTGGCTTGTAAGGACATCCAGTCATCCTTTTGTTGTAAAAGCTGTGGAGAGGAAATGAAAGCCGGGAATGGTTTCCTCGTCTGGGAAAATGCAGATGAGCTATGTAGGTATGTTTGATTTGCTGACTCCAGCTGTGCCTGGAGAATTCCCCTGACCCATCCTAAGATCTGGTTGTTGTGTGAGGCAAAATGTAGGCTGCCCCTGTTGCAAAGCAGGCAGGCGCAATACGCAACCCCCCTGAAAGGAACGGTCATTGAACTCTCAGGCAAGTGGCAATATTTGCTCACCTGAAATACTCACATCATAGCAATTGGGGTAGGGGTGTGCTCAGGGGCTGGGCAGGGCCTCCTCGAAGCAGCTGTGGCCAGACCGGGAAGTTTTGTGGCTGGAGAGGGGAAGGGGCTTTCTTGTTGGGGGGTTGTTCAGATGTGGCCGCCTTATTGTGTCCTTAAGGAGGCAGGCACCATATTTGTTCGAAGCTGCAGGAGGCTGATGAGGTGCTAATCTGTTGAGTGGCTGTGTCATTGGGGCCCTGTTCCCAATGGCCTGTTAGCTGTCAGAGCCTGTAAAAAAGGCAAAATTTATTGGCCCCAGGCCAGGGCTCAGCCATCGGTGTCCACGGGTAAGCAAACACAGATTGGACACTTATGCTGTTGCTCTGGTAGAGCTGGCT